CCTCCACCAACTCATCCAACTGCTCTTCATCTTGGGCTTCGTCCCGCTTGGCTTTTGAGCTCGACCGTGAGGTCGGCATTGCAAACAACTTTTTGAGGTGCTTATCCTTTTGAAATTGATCTTTGGGATAAACCTTGCAACTATCATCCAAGATTGGGACATGACCTTCGATCTTGAGCTGGACGACCTTGTCATCTGGACGGACTAGGATTGGTTTGCCATTGGCAGGCCATACGAAACTGTAACCCTGATCTACGCATCTCGTTCCTACAGAGAGCACAGCTGGGGTATGATCAAGCACATACGGATGCACGGGATCTGGCAATGCGGACAACTTGACATCAGCAACTTCATTTGCCTCGGTCGAACCATTGGCTGTGACTAAGGAAATCGGATGCTCGGCTGCACGGCAGTTCTTGGCACTTACGTCCCTCAGCATTCCTTTGGACACAAGATCGGATTCACTACCTGAGTCAACAAGCCAACTAACGCCGGCCTTTGGCGCAGCTGTGGCAATTGACGGGAAACGACCAATGTCTCTAAGGGCTTTGGGACCGCTGATGAACCTGCACTCTTTGCATGTGATGTCGCGTGTGTCCTCATCCCAACAACAAAACCCACAACTTGGTGCAACATCTGAATCATGAAGTTTCACAGTTTCTTGGAGCTGTCTTGCACGAACCTGAGCTTCATGCTGTTCAACCTTTGATGAAACTGGAACATCTTCAGCTGTCTTGTACACCTTAGTGAACTCTCTTGGACGGTGCTTGACTGGGACTTGACGACCGACTGCCTTCACCTCGATCACATGTGGAGCCTTTCGGAATCTAAGACGCTTCATGCTGACACTTGCCTCATCAGAGCACGAAGTTGCCTTCGGCTGTTTTCGGACGATGCATGCAAACTTCTGGATCAGACATGGAGCGGCTGTGGAATCCTTGCCCTTCTTGGGAGCGGGTGAATTGGCCCTTTTGGTGTCTTTGGTGGCGGCAGCGGCTTTGTCATCATGTTTATAAAAACATTTGTCACCACGTCTGCACTTTCCCTGGGCATGATAGATGCATGGGGTTTTAGCCATTTCTTCTTTAGACATCTTCTTCCCCTTATCATCCTTATTGCCCCTTGATGGTGAACGTGTTTTGGTTCTTCTGGGTGATTGAGTTCGAGATTTATCATCTTTGACATGCTTGAATGGACACTTCTTTCCCTTATCACAGGTACCCTTTTGGAACTTATAGCAAATCTTGTCACCTTTGCCACCTCGTTCCTGCGATCTACCGCGACTTGGAGAGCCCTTTCGGCCGCCGCGACCATCGCCTTTGGCGGGTGCGGCCTTTGTGTCCTTAATCCCAGCCTTGTTCTTCTCCGCAATGCGGTTCCTGTTCTCCCTCAATCGTTCACGATCGATCAAGTTCTTCATGGATTGGTGAAGAAAACTGTAAGACTTTTCATGGGATTTCTCATGAGCACGGTCAAACACCTCGATGTCATATTTCAGCAACTGACTTGGTCGGATCTGCCTCAACAAGATGTCCCTTAACACAGCATCATCAGGGGTGACAGCCATGCCAGCTAGGGTAGCATCCCATTTGTTGATGAATCTTCGGAGATCCTGGACAGTATCGCCTACTTTGACAACACCCAAAAGATCTTCTACTCTGTAAAGGCTACCTGCTTCTTCTGATGTCTTGAAGTAGTCCTCAAACATAAGCAGAACATATCTTCCCCTGACCTGGATGCCTTTTCGGGATTGCTGCTCCTTGAATAGTTGCGAGGTCCCCTCCGGCTGAGCGCGTGAGCGCTGCTGATAACTTTGTATCCAGCGTAAGGAACTTTCCAGGATCTTGGAGTTTCTTCTCCAACTGCTCTCTGGTGCACTCTTGATCGTACACCTCGTTGAGCCAGAGCCACGCCTCATCCGGGCGATCTGAACAGCTCTTCACTTCATCCCTGACGTGATTCTTTCAAGTTCTATATGACTCCGGAGCGGGCATGTTGTTCAGCTTGATGAGTTCAGCCTCCTTAGTTTTTGGCTTATCCTTTTCTTCCCTTTGGGTTAAGGCTTTCACCAATTCAATAAGATCTGAGGGACCCATTACTTGCTGTTGCTTGGTTGCGCTCTTGGGAGATTCATTGGGGGAGTTTTGATAGCTTCAGTGGGAGTGAAAAACCCTGACTGCGTTGGCAATTGGGGCTGGTCGTTGCCGACAGCCGGCTTTTGCTTGGGACTGCCACCTTTGAGCAGCTCATCCAACTTGGCCTTTGCTTCCTGCGCCAACACTGCAGGCGTCTTAAACTCAAGAATCGGCTCATCACTGCCTCTGGCAGCCTGTGCATCGGATGCTTTGGGAGTGGCAATATTGAAGTGGGGCACGCTAGTGGTAGCGGCCGGCTCGGCGTTCTGGACGGATGCTTTCGGAACGGAGGCATGCTGCGCTTTGGCAACATGCTTTAACTGCTCCTGAAGATCATCGATTTGGTCCTGAAGGCTAAGGTTCTGAGCCACTGCCTCGTTGATCTTGTCGGCCATCTCCTTCTTGTAGTTCTCAAACTCAGTCCTCAAACTGATGAACCTGGCCTGATCAATTGCAGCCTGATCTTCATATTGCTTCTTTGTGGCAGCTATGGCATTCTTTGCATGTTCAACTGTCTGTGCATAGGAAGCTTCGAATTCACTAGTGATACGTTTTCTTTCCTCTGCAATTTTCTGATCATGCTTTGTGTTTGCCTCTGCCTTTACATCCTCTATTCTTTTGTCATGCGATGCCTGAGCCTGATTCAACCTGACCTCCATCTCGTCGCCTCGTTTCCTCTCCTCGTTGAGGGCACTAATGGCATTACCTTCAACTTCCTGCAGCCTTTGCTCATACTCCTGCTCCTGCATTACGAGTCTACTTGACCATTCGTTTCGAATTGAGTCAACTACTCCATGCATTATCTGAAGGTGCCTCTGTTCAGCTTCCCTCATGACTTGCAGGGTATTCCCACTAGTAATCTGGGACAGGTTGTTTTGTATGAAGGTAAAGTACGCAACAACGGGTTGGAACATTGTTTCGTCATCCATCGGCTCGGGGTTGCCCCCGGCCATATTAGGCACAGCGACAGCCGGTGGACCTGACCCTGGAACGGCGAGAGGATGGTCAATTGGGGTCCCCATAGCAAAGTAGTGAGACTACGGCTGATAACCTGTATTTTACCAGGTCAACCGACAATGGGGTGAAATACTAAGCTAACACCGTTAAGCACTCAGCTCTTTTGAACCAACGCTATCGGGCAGATCGATGATATATACAATACATGGTTTTACTGCAGGAGTTTAGCTTGGGAAATCAACTATATAGACATAAATGGAACATTTTCCAGCACGTCACGTTTAATTGCAGGAGGGTAAAGGACAAGGGGCAAACAACACCCAAAAATATACGGTTTCCCCATAGATTTCCCGTAGAAACCACTTCTGGGACTGGACTGAATTGTATTGTGGCAAACCCATGTAATATCATCTGATTATTTAATATAGCCACGGAAAATCCCAACCATAAGTGGGGAGGTTTATAGCTGGGAAAATCATCTATGAATGGGCCATTTTCCATGGCTATGTTAAATAACCAGAGGGTAAACCTTCAATTTTGGAGTGTTTATACCGCCCATTTGTGATGAAATTGTGGATGGTTTATTATCGGGTATACCAAAGTACCTCAAATAACTCTAGATGGTCGTTGCCAAGGAATTAGAACTGTAGTCGGGTAGGCACGATTTTCTTAAAACCTACCCAACATTTGGATATTCCAAATAATGTGGGTAAAACAATGCCATGAACCATCCCCCAAATCACCATCAATTAAATATACCCTCTGGTAAATTAACATAGACCTTGAAAATAACCAATTTTTAGTGGAAACTAATCTTCCAACCCCGACAACTGGCAGGGTCTATGTTAATTTACTGGACATTATATAGGTGGTATAAACCATTCCCCAAAATGGGTAGTTTGCTATTGTTTTCCCATTATAATCCCATTATAACCATCATCCATATATTATAACCAATTATAACCATCATTTATATCCATATAATAACCATATAATGGTTAATGGGTCGTTTGCTATTGTTTTCCTCATATAATAACCGCTGTCAAATATGTCTCGGTCCATGGATCCAGACTTGATATTTGGATCATTTCGGATTTGTAGAAACCCTCAGGGATCAAATGGAACTTAACGGAAGTATATGGAAATATGATGTGAATATGATGTGAATATGATGGAAGTATGATGAACGGTGTATCATGTCATACCCCATTTTGGAGTATCTTAACTCTTCATATCAAATCAGAATCCAGGATCTTTGGATTCCATCTTGACAATCCACGGATCCCCTTTTTACCCATGGAACCCCAGCTGGATCCCTCGAAAAAACGGGTGAAAAAATCCCCGTATTGCTCGGTCGAAGGTGGTTCTTTCCATCTGCCCAAGCCGCGTGACCCAAGTCCCATATCTAGTATGAACCTTGTGTTCATCATATTAGTTATTAGTTGTTGAATGTAAAATATCACCATTTTTTGACAAATCCTGGATAGTATACTTATAGAGTTATAGATATTATCCTAAATTCATATTCATATCACGATAATAGATCGTTGTTAACGATGTTCATGACTTACGCTTTTAATGTTCCTTGAGTTTGCCTGGTGCATCACCCAAGGGCGATGGAATTTTCATTTGCTGAATCTCCCATCATCCCATGATATAATTTATATACACAGATATAGTTATGTATACAGGTATAAAATCATATACATTGTATTTATATATACATATACATGCTAAACATTGTATAAAATAACAATATATATATATATATACACATATATATATATAACATGAAATGACACTATATATCTATATATATATATTTATACTTGTCAATATGTGCGTATAGATAAACAACCGCTGAATTGAAACCAACTCATCTCAAAACGTCTTCCGCCTCCAAGCGACAACGGGGATCACGTTGTAGACGCTCTCGGCCGCTTTGCTCATCTCACAGAGCTCTCGCAGTTTCATCTCCACCGCTGCCCGGCTCGCGCAGCGCGACTGTGCTGTGCCGCGTGTCTGGGTGCTGGTGGCCGGCACCTAAGATGGGATGGAGGGTATTTAAGCCGTGCACATGCGGGTTTGATCAGCAAAAATGGGATTTAAACAGCAAAAAGGATGGCTGAAAAGCAGATCACTGAGATTTTTTGGTGGAGAAATGATGGATTTTACTACACAACGGGTCTGATCAGCAAGAATCGGGATTGAAGTACCGAATATGGGCCTCCAGGCCTGAAAAGCGTCGAGTGATTACTTGGAGGATCATCCCACTTAGTAACTGGTTAATAACCATTTATAACCCAGTTATATATATATTATATACATATATATATATATATATTATACACATAATTATATATATTATACATATAATTCTATATATTATACATATATATATATAATAATATGGGATAACTCCACTGAATGGGGACTTACTAACTACGTTCATTTGCCACTTGCTAAGTTGGATGATCCTCCACGGGTTGCAACCCCATGCCACCTGTGGGGTGTCGACAAAAAATGGGGACGCCAAAAACCATCAGAAACAACTAGATAAACACATGTCCTGTTTAGCAATGCCATGGTTTGGGAGCTTCCGTGTTCGGGCAAACAAGAACATATTAACATATTTTCTTCATGTTTTCCTATATTTCTTGCAGTTGATTCTCTTTTTCATTCTGAAAGCTATATACAACATCCTTGTTGATAACGCATTGTCACTATCACCCATCAGTGACTCGATTCACTAATTGGTCCATTGGTTCATCGATAAAAATTGAACAGAAAAAAAAAGGTCATGCCGCAGGTTGCGACTCATTGATTCACTAATTCATTGAGTCATTGATTCTTTGATTACCTTTGATTCATCAGTTCATGAAGGTTCGTTGTGCTTCGCACGATTCTGTCAGGTCATGAAGATTCCTGCAGGAGCACCGAAACCAACGTCTCAACACTTCATTGCTCCGTTGATTTCAAAAACTATCGTGTAGGCCGTTGATTTCTACAAGTGTTCATTTTTTTCGAAACTTCCGCCCACGGCCGGGAATTATCTGGCATTATACTATTTAATCTTCCCATTTTATTAAATCCCAATCATTTCATAGAATTAATCATATTGCATTCCCATACATTCCCAATAGATTTCCATGACCATAAGCCATAGGGCATGATAATCATGATATCCAATTAAATCCAGTCAGTTACATGTCCCATTATATATATATATTGATTGTAAATTACACTAAATGTTCCATTCATATCCCGCTCATTTCCCCATTTATATCCAAACAGATTGCCCCGTTAGAACATATTCCAATAAAACCCATTCATTATTCCATTAACATTCCCCTAAGCTATCCCCATTTATCAAATGGTTAGTAAGATGGTCAAAGCCCCTTGTAATATAGCTTTAAAACATTAATACCCCAGCAAATCACATATTCCATTGATATCCACATTTATATACTCGTATATTTCACAAATAATGAGCCAATATTCCACTAAACATCCATATAGATGATGAAACATCCCATGATATGGGGGTTTCCTAAAATCTGGGTACCCCAATAGCCGGATGGCTTATTTCATGGAAAATCCATTTATAATGGATGATTTAGGAATTTCATAAACTTATTGATGGTTTATTTTCCTAAAATCCTATTAAAATGGAAAATGGGATATGGATTTAGGAAAACACACCATCTCACGGATTTAGGAATTCATTTAGGGGTACCTCATTTATTTTCATATCATAATCAGATGGATTTAGGGCTACCCGACTCATCTCACAGCTTCGCCATAGCCACCGTCCCGGCAGTACTGTCCCCGCTTGCCCAGGTGATGCTGGTCACGCGCGGAGAGGCCGGCAGGCCGGGCACCGGGCCCAGGGGCACGGCCTGCACGACTTGGGCTCGGTGATTTCATGGGATCCAGTGGTGATGTCATGGTTAATCAATGGTTAATGGTTGCAATGTGGGGCCCCCCAGTGATGTTAGTTGGTCTATAAACACCAGTAACTATAGTTATAAGTATCATAAACTCCATAGTTATTGGAGTTATGTTCACCAACTTAGCTATCGTTTGGGGGCCCCACTTTGTACCATCTGGTTATTTAACGTAGCCATGGACAGATCCACCATTTTTAATAGGTAAACCATCTATTTCTATGGGCCGTTTTCCATGGCTATGTTAAATAACCAGAGGTTAATAATGGTTGATTGATTGAGATTAATGGTGATTTCATGATAATTCATGGAATTTCATAGTGATTGGTAGGGATCTCAACCAACATGAGGATATTTTCATGGGAAATAGCCTCCAGTAAACTGAGAGAGGTACGGAACATGGTACATTTCCTTCGATGATTTTATCGAAATGAAACACGGAGATTTCCACAGTTAGTTTACCAGAGGGGCAAGGAAACTATTACCCTCTGGTTATTTAACATAGCCATAGAAAATGGCCCATTTATAGATGGTTTACCTATTCAAAATGGTGGATCTTTCCATGGCTACGTTAAATAACCAGATGGTACAAAAAATACTGTCCGACCCAGTAGATTCCCCAAATGATTGCTTTGCCAATGAAAAAATAAACCATCATTTAACCAGCAAATCGAAGGGTCTTAACCAGCAGAAATAGTGCATTGATCGTTTTAACCATGGCGTTTTGCAAAACTGATGGTTTGACCATAAAATATGGGAGTTTAACGAAAATCATAGCTTTAATTTACCAACTTTTGATTGGGATTTAGCCAAGGAATGATGGACATTTGTATCTCATACCCCAAATCCACTGGTTGATGAATCATTCTCCAGATGTGTTTGAGGCGACCAAACACCAAGGCAAATATCACGTCATGATATTCCCATCCCATCTCATTTCAAATTTACCCTCTGGTTATTTAACATAGCCATGGAAAATCCCTTATAAATGGAGGTTTTAATGGGGAAATCATCTATAAATGGGCCATTTTCCATGGCTATGTTAAATAACCAGAGGGTACATCAGTTTTGAGTGGGCAATGGTAGTAACCCATCATTATGGGTATGGGTCAAACGGAAGGTACAAATTGACCCACATCATTGGGCACTTTTAGCCTTTCAGCGTGCAACCAGCCATTTTCTGGGGCCCTATTTTGACCCACTCAGAAAACAAATATCATCAACATTATTAAAACAATGCTATTGTGTGTTTGTGTGTCCCCATTGATTAGTTTGCGGTGTCCATGATGGTTTTCCTTCAAAAGCCACACGACTTTCCATTGATCTTGATCTCTGGAGCATGCCATTTAGAAAAACAGAATTTCCGTCCATCAGGGTTGCTCCAAACACCCTAGCTACAAGGCTGGTTTTTTTTTGGTAAGTATAGTGGCAAATAGCGGTAAATAGCAGGATTATTTCATGGGCACATTTACTCCCAAACATGGCTATCATTTGCATATACCCTCTGGTAAACTAACATAGCTATGGAAAATCCCAGCTGGGTAAATCAACTATCAATGGGCCATGGCAAAACAGCTATTTTGACATAACCAGAGGGTATTGATAGTGGGATGGAGCAACCCTGTCCATCACCAATGGACTCACCATGGCCAATCATCATGGCCAACATTAATACACCGTATCAACATACAATGTTACACGTTAACATATATTTATGAGTATATATCAAACATAACTATATATATATATATGTATACCATCATTCATATGCACCACATTTATGTCTTTATCACATAATGTGTAAATTAAAATGTATATACATATGCATATTCAAATATATATATATATTATATGAATATGCATATTTATATATCCACCATCTTTCCATGCCTTTCCCTCGCTTCCTCACCTTTGTGGTCATGCGCCCCATGGTCTCTTCCAAGCGCCGGAAGAGCTCCCGGTCGCGGAGCGCCAGCATCTGCTCGAACCTGACACCGAGGCAAGGGATTGGTGATTCGGGACCGTCCCACATGGAAGTCATATGGGTCACATGGGGGTTTCCATAAATGGGGGATCCCCAAGATGGTTTATTTATGTTTATTTCATGGAAAAACCTATTATTAAAATTGATGATTTAGGGATACCCCCATTTTCGGAAACCTCCATATGGGATATTAAAGACTATTAGTACTGAGATATTCATAGCTTAACCATGTGATCGATTTTCGAAGCTATTGATTATCTGAGGATGGGTCAAGTTACCTATGACATCCTATGACCATATGATTGGGGGAATAAACATCCACAATACATCCACTAATGAATTTAGGATACCAGGAAGGGTACCATTCGGCTTTTGAGACATAGCCATGTTGATCAATCTTCGCACAGGACTCGCAGAAGGGACAACATAAGGGATCACCCCATTTGATGCTTGGATTTGCTTGGACTCCCAAAAATCTCCCTATAGATTCCTTCATTTCAGATCTATTTCTGAGTAACTTGAAAAATGGGGAGCAAATCCGGTTGCAAATTCTTGGGTTTTGAACACCGCCCCACATGTGGGAGATGATGATGAGGTGAAATCACAGAAAAAGTGATCTGGATTTCGGTGTCTGAAAAACTGGGATGTGCTCGGAATCTGACAACATGCTTGCGGAAATCGAATCATCCCAACTGCAGCGATCCCAACGGAAAAAAACATACTAATGGGGTATGATAATATAATGAAATATATATATATATAATTATGTATAATTATATATATTAGGATATCTAATCCAACTTAGTATGACATTTGGCCAATTCGGATGTGCGATGTGCTTGAACATGGTGTACAACCGCCAACTGGTAATTTGAATGGGACAATGCTGATGAAGGATGGAATTTTGATGGTACCATATTTTCGAACAAACGTATATATTATATCTTCTTTTCATGGTTTCTGGTAGACTTTCCCTTAAATACCCTCCGGTAGTTTTACTAAAATCATGGGAATGATTTTCCTATGAATTATGGCAGTTTGCTATAGCTAGTGTTAAATTACCAAAGGGCATGGCAGAAATCACCAAAAGTGAGATATCTTTGCTCAGCTTTCCCACGAAATAAGGGAATTGCACAGAACATCTCCGGTTTCATCCAAAAACTGATTACAACTTATTCTGACATGAAATATAGCTTACTATAATGACAGAAATTGAATATGACCAACTAACATGAAATAAGCGAATGTGTTTGTCTCAAAATAAAGTATGCCCCAGCTCCCATGGTTTAGAAAATCACTTTCCCCGTGGAAAATAGCCAGAAATTGGCGGAAAAACACCATTCTCAGGCAAACCCAAATCATATTCTTAGTTATATACCCCCCTAAATCATAATAAATTCCATCAAAATCACATTTCCTCCCCAAAAATGGTGGGTTTTCCACATCAAACATGGACTCGGGACGCATTCCCCGCAGCCTATCCACCAACTGCTCCGCCACCGAAGAAGTGTCCTTGCTGGATTCCATGGGTCGCTCCTGCGCTACGTCCTGCACGTTCAGGTGGCAAAAAATGGAGGGATTGTCCAAGATCAAGGTGCTGCCCTTGATAAACGACATCGCTAAGTTGTTGAGCAGAACTAAAAAAGGAATCAATAAGTATGGTTTATGATACTTATAAACTTATAACATCTTTAACTATGGTTAATTGGGTCGATTAAGCACTTAGAACAATACCTAAATGGTTTATGGCAGATGTATCTGCACAATGATGGTCATTTAAGGGGAAGGTCAACACCGCAAAGGGGTGGACATGGGTCAGCCCCCAAACTTACCTGGAAAGCTGGTACTGAAAAAATTCCATGCTTGACAATTGACAATCATCCATCAAATGCCAGCAATATGCCATGAAATCCCATCATTCCAAGCCTACTAATTCCATGAAGTCCCATGAAAATTTCCAGTTGAACCCCATTAAGATGCCATAAAATCATCCAATGTGAGGCCCCCCAGTGATGTTAGTTGCTTTATAAGCCCCAGTAACTATAGTTATTTGCGTACCATAAACCATAGTTATTGGAGTTCACCAACTTAGCTATCGTTTGGGGGCCCCACTTTGTATAAAATCCCATGTACCCAGGCTCGGTCCATGCCTGCCATGTCGACGGAAACGGTGCAGAGCTCTCAGGTTCCATGGCGATCGAGGGATGGAGGGATCGAGCTAGGATTTTTCAACGTTTAGTAGGCTTCTTAAATTGGTATATCATAAGTGAGGATATAATTCAACAACTATGGATTGTGGTTATATAACTTATAACATCTATTAAATCTATTAATAATCCATGTTTTTCATATTTGGATAGATGGCTAACTGGCTAGTTATGATCAATTTTGGAATCCAGGTTACTAAGTCCCTCAAATGGCTTATCTCATTCCCCACCTGCCAGGTGAGGGTTGTTAGATTTTATCAGAGCTGTTCTCCTCCTCCTCCTCCTCGGCTAGCTGTCCTCCTCCTCCTCCTCGTCCTCCTCCTCCTCCTCATCCTCCTCCTCCTCCCCCTCTAGTTTCTCCTCGACCATGTCTGCATCAACTTCCACCTCCACTTCCGCCTTGCCAACTCTTCGCCAAGCTCTTTGCCAACTCTCTTCGCCAAGCTCTTTGCCAACTTCCCCAGCTCAGTGTGCACTGGGACCTCAACCTGGGACCTGCCCAGCTCAGTGTGCACCGCTGGACCTCAAGCTCAGTGTGCACCGCTGGACCTCAACCAGGGACCGTCTCAGCTCAGTGTGCACCGCTGGACCTCAACCTGGGACCTGCCCAGCCCAGTGTGCACCGCTGGACCTCAACCTGGGATTTGCCCAGCGCAGTGTGCACCGCTGGACCTCAACCGGGGACCTCCCCAGCTCAGTGTGCACTGCTGGACCTCAACGGGCAGATAGAATGCCAGAAGATATGCCAGATAGAATGTCAGATGGAATGCCAGAAGATATGCCAGATAAAATTCCATGAGATATGCCAAATAGAATGCCAGAAGATATGCCGGAAGATATACCAGATAGAATGCGAGAAGGTATGCCAAATAGAATGCCAGATAAAATATCAGATAGACTGCCACAAGATATGCCAGATAGAATCCCAGAAGATTTGCCAGATAATATGCCAGAAGATATGCCAGATAGAATGCCAAATAGAATGCCAGAAGATATGCCAGAAGATATGCCAGAAGATATACCAGAACATCTTCCAGTAGAATGCCAGAAGACATGCCAGAAGATATACCAGAATATATGCCAGAAGATATGCCAGATAGAATGCCGGATCGAATGCCAGAAGATATGTCAGATAGAATGCCAGAAGATTTGCCAGTAACAAATCGATAAATGTCATGGTGGGGATCACTCGAAGTAAAGTAATTTATAAATAGTAACCCCAGTGCTTTTCATAATCCAGGTTAGTAGGTCCGTCAAGTGGCTTATCCCATTTATAAATGGCTTATAACCCCACTAACCACTGACTAAGTGGGATGATCTTCCAAGTAGAGATAGCGGGATTTACTGCTGGAAATATCTTCGAAAGTTACAAACATTGCGATCATTCCACGACTTCGTTTCGTGTTCGTGGTATCCCAGCGCCATCGTCACAGCCCATTCTGCCCAGCCATTCTGGCTATGGGTCAAGTCATTGGGATCCTTGGATTTGATTAAGGATCCCCAAAATTCATTTCTTTCCCCATAAGATTCCTCCATCAAATCCTGGATTGACCCTTCCTGGGAAAAACATACCTAAATAGAAAAATCAAAGTAGAAATACATACAAATACATCGCAAATACCCTCTGGTAACCATGGCTATAGCAAATCACCAAATACAGCACCAATATGCGTACTATACATATGTTGTTCATAATGCACACACACACATATATATAATTATGTATATATATATATATGTAAATATGTGTTGATACATGAAAAAAAACGAACTGAACACATCAGTTGGGGGTTGGGAGAGTTGGATTTGTTCAATGGACTCCCAACCATCAGGCCATAGGCATTTCGTGCGGAAGATACCAAGCAGGTGTGGCTACGTTCTACGAAGCTTGGAGCCAAGATATTCCAAAGCAGGATATTTCATTGAATCTGGCACCTGCTATGAAGATTTCATGGGATTTACTGTACCAATGAAAACAGGACGTTTCATTTAAGGGAACTTGGGGTTGGTAAAAATATGTAAAAATCATCTGCGTTTGGTTGGGAACAGAAGATAAACATAGTCTGTCAACTTCTATTACCCTCTGGTAAACAAACAGTTAGCTATTGAAAATGGCCATAGAAATAGTGGATTTACCCATTAAACATGGTGGATCTTTCCATAGTTACGTTAGTTTACCAGAGGGTACAAGAAGGTCGCATCAAATTCTTTTCAACATGAGAACTTGAGGCGGACAGCCGGTACAGCAACATGCATCACTCTCCGGCAACATAGCTATGGAACATGGCCCGTTATGGCCAATTTAATTTACTCTGATGATTTACTAAAAATGATGATTTTGCATAGCAAAACAGAGGGTATGCATTCTCCTCTTTTCTAAGCTTTCCTGCTGAAATGCGGTTCTGCCTTTGCCTTTTTCAATTGAGACAATCTCTAGAAAACAGTCCTGAAGGTAATTCAAGATGGCGGAAGAGTTGACCGTTGACAAAAAACTGAGGACTTTCTGTTGGCAACTATTAAATTACCACAAGGTTTTTCTGCCAAAGTTTGTGGTTCTGTGGCATGGTTCCCCAAAGCTTGAATATTGATCCTAGACCTTCGCACACATCCGTACAGCTGTTGTGGTTCCTTTTTAGGGCCTGATGAGGCCCACAAAATTAAACCCCCTCCAAGTCGTCACATGATATTATTACACGAAATGCTCCATTTGGGTCTCAAAATAACACTCATTCTATCTGGCTACGGGTCAAGTCATTGGCTATACTAAAATCGGATGGTCAATCGGATTAAAACCCAAAATCAAAAACTATTCCTTGGATTTGCTTAAGGAACCCTCTTAAAAAAAAGAAACGTATTCCCTTCAGATTCTCTATGAACCTATAGATTGTCAATTGTGGTTTTCCCACTGGGAAAATGAACCAAATATCCAAATCTTCAGAAAATCCAGGATTCAGTTGCTTGTGTAGTCATTTCCAAATTTTCAGCAAATCAGCAAATCTATAATTCTTTAAATTGTGGGTTTCTATAGTTATTCCATGAAAAGAAAGGAACTATGTAGCAATGGGGAGTTTTATTTCCAACCTATATATGTTTCTAAATAAAACCTATCAACTCACCATTTTTATAAATGTTCCATATATATATATATGCTTTATGGGGATATTTTGAAACTATTCCATAAAACATCCCTTTAAACTACCCAACGGGGAACGGCGGAAACCGGCGTGGCGGTTTCCCCACATCCCGGTGACACCTCGCTGGATGCCTTGGGCCAAGCCTGGCGTGCCACATTTGAAGCACCATGGGAATTTAAGCATAGGAATGGGAATATGTATATTGACATTGTTATACATTGTTATATATATAACTATTATCTTATTATTGTGTATTTATATATATATATATCATTATGTCATTATATATATATATATATTATTGAGTATGTTCTTACCAGCCATTACTGGGCATTACTAGGATGATATATGATGATATATGATATACTATTACATTTGGGTTTGTCCAACAATGGTGGATTTTAGCTCAAATTACGTCCATTGAACACTGGGGAGCATGAGAAACAAATGCTGGATTTGGGGGTACCCTCTCTTGAGACAAAGCAAACCATTGTTTCGGGAGCTGAGGTACCTCTGGTAATCTAACATGTCAACATTAAAAACACACATGTATATACAGACATGTATCCATTTACAGATGTTGCGTTCAATATGAGATTTACCTTGCCATGGTTGATTCTGTACCTCGGGTACCTC